GGAACTAATTGATATCTATTACAGATACTAATGAAGGAGAACAGAATAATACTGGAAATTACTGAAGCTTTTCATACAGAACCTTAGTGTAACCCCATACTGGGTATAAGTAAAGTAGATAATAAAGTATTAGATATCAACAAGTAATTAGTAATGACATGGTAATGACTTGAGGAAAGGTTAAGTGAAATTACGATATTAAGTCAATAAGATTTTTATACGCAACGACGGAATGTGTTCAAAACTTAATGTTATGTATCGTAATAAAGGTTAATCCTAGTTTACGATTTATTAAAATATATTACATTCTACGTTGCAATGCTATGATACATTGAATCGTTTCAAGCGAGATAACAAAGCACTCCTTGGCTATGCTTCTTTGAATTTCCTTCGCTGTAATATAATTTCATTTTGTTAAATATTTTTCGTCTACTAGTAAGTGGCTGTTGAAATTAGATGTTATATTTTTAAGACATATTTTTAATTCTAACTTTCAAATGATAACTCATAATGTAGGTATGGATAAATGTGAAAATACATTTAAATACTATTTGTGGGATCAAATATACAATCCTCGTTGATACTAACATAAAACACATCAGTATAGTAAGAGAATTAATTCTAACTTGAAACAAAAGATTACCTTCTTGTTGTCATTTATACTCATACTTGAGTTTGACGAAATACTATGCCATTACTTTATATAAATTTCTGGCACTAAATGGTAATATTATCTCTATTCTTAATATAATAATACATATTTAAAAATGATGGACTTTGTTAACAAAAGTAAAATCTTTGAATAAATTATTTAAAAAATAATATTTTTTTTTGTATTGGATTAAACTCTTATCTATGTGACAGCCCTTGTGTATTTGCTAAGTTAACAAAACTTTAACAACTCAATCACTCATTCCTATTGTTGTTTTTCTCATTAGATTTTAATGACTGTAAAAATCATCGCACAATTACTTACATTATTTTCTTCTGTAAATAAAAGGAAGGTTATAAATTTAGTCCACTTTGATTATTATGACAAGAGCTTTTAATATATTGGGAAGGGTCTTGTTATGTAGGAAATTTAAGAAGAATTATAATCTTGTACATGAACAACGCGTGAATAAATTAAAATAATTTATTGAAATAGAAAAAACACAAAAAACGCTTGTATATTCATGTCTTATAATATCGGATAAACAATGTAACAAAAATATATTTTGAAGACTTGCGAGTCTTTGTCCCCACACCTTTTACATATGTATTATTGGTTAACAGTGTCCCGTGTAACAAAATAGTGTAATAATTATTTGATCTTTACATCATCCTTCCAGCTACTGAGATCATCCAAACATTTTTCCAGTAGTGGGTTTACTCCTAGACGGGCTACCTGTAAGAATACCTAGATTGTATACTTCAATTTAAAACAACCATATTTCAATGAATACTATGTGTATATACCTGATTCACCTCAGCCCGAGCTTCTCGATCAAGTTCACTGAGTCTGTTTCTCGTGTACTGTATGCTTTCTGCCAGCCTTCTACAACAAAGACATACAGTATATACGCAAGATACCTGATAGTAATAAAAATATGATCACGAAATAGTCTACTATCACTGAATTACCATTTAGTTATGTTCATATTTATTAACCAAACACCAAAAATAATGACAAAAATTAATATCAATAAAGTATTAGAAACAGAAGATCAAGGAAGAAACTTCGTAAGCGGACCTGATCTCATGAAACGAGTAAATAAATCACACGAAGTTCTCAAAACTCTAAATTTTAAATTGATATGTAACTCATCAAGTTTATGAAATAACCTGATGCAATTATGAAGAACTAGCTTTCCGCCCGCAGCTTCGCCCGCGTGGAGTTCGGTTATATCGCGTTTCCAAGAGAACCTTTCAAAAGTCTAGGATAAAAACTATCCTATATTCTTTCTCAAGGTCAACTCTATCTCTGTACCAAATTTCATTAAAATCAGTTCAGTGCTTTAGGCGTGAAAGCGTAACAGACAGATAGACAGAGTTACTTTCGCATGTATAATATTAGTAGGGGTAATGATTCCGTATTTATCCAAGAGTTACAGTAAAAACAGCTATATTTGACCCACACAAATACGTTCTCGTATGTATACAATAAGTTACTGAGTTTTAGTGTACTCACGTAAAACTTCGCTTCCCACTGATGTTTTGGATGCGTGTATGATGGGCAAGGAAAACTTTCCTTCTGATAAATCTTCACAGAAACTGCCATTGCTGTTTAACTGGAATAGTAAAACACATAATAAATATGCTATAATCTTATTTCGAAGCAAATATAATGATCATCGTTAATTGGAAAAAAAATCACATTTAAATTAAATTTGTCTAAAATTGTTATGATAAATTTAAATTTGTTGGAAATATAAAGTCTGTTTAATGTATAATATTACCAGTGAGATGTTCGTTCATCTGATAGTAACGATATTTATATGTATAGGACAGATTTGTAAAAACGTAGACGTTAGAAAGATGTGTAAGTCTTAGATTACTCATATGTGTCATCTTTTTGTATTGATCCTCAGTGGGGCAAATGAAGTTTTGCTCCCAATAAATCTCAGTGCCTTGTCCCTGCCACATTTCGTGTATTTGATCCGCGAATCCCTTGACTTTCTGTAAAAAAATATATCTTCTTCACATCCCTACTAATATTATAAATGCGAAAGTAACTCTGTCTGTCTGTCTGTCTGTCTGTCTGTCTGTCTGCTACGCTTTCACGCCTAAACCACTGAACTGATTTTAATGAAATTCGGTACAGAGATAGAGTTGACCTTGAGAAAGAACATAGGATAGTTTTTATCCCAGACTTTTGAAAGGTTCTCTTGGAAACGCGATATAACCGAACTCCACGCGGCGAAGCTGCGGGCGGAAAGCTAGTAATTATTATATGTACGTAGTCTACATTATTGTAATATATGTATATATATATATATATAATTTTGTACAGTTTGCAGCTACACTTTATGAAAGAGTTTCGTTCTACAATTTTTTCTGTTAATTCTACGTTTCATTAATAAATTGCTATAATCAGACCGATGCATCTGGTACTAACTCGAGGACTATTTTCATTGACTCCACCATTACTTGAACAGCGGAGTTTATGGTCAAGGGAACACCGTAGACCAAATGTGCTGTTGGTTTTCCTCGACGAACTAAAGTCCTGGATTCCTGGAAAGAAAGCGACACAACCGTTATATGACTACAAAAGTGTATCCTTGTAAGAAAAATCTTCGGAATTCATTATTTTAAGTAATTATTAATATTATTATCTTTTTTTTTAATACGAATGTATACTTACTAAGAAATATTATAATTATACCTCATTTTACAAACGAATAATAAATCATTATTTTATTGTAAATTTGACCTTCGTCAAGTTAGTAAGTCATTTTCGGCGATATTAAACTAATGAAGTCGTCAGACTAATTATAATATATGTACGTAGCGATACGTAGCGATGACGGACAAGCGTTACACACCTGAAGTCTATGCGGACTGACGAGTGACGAGCCCGGCGGCCGGCGCACTGGCGGCTCAGCTGGCCAGCGGCGACTAGCGGGGGCCAGCGGGGCTACAGGTGCGCGGGCCCGGACGACGCGAACAATAGACGCAGCGCACATCCTCGCTATATACAATTTAATAAGAAGTTTGTCCGTCGCTACTTGCAAGAAATAAAAATATTAAATAAATTTTAAATTTTAAGCAATAATTAAACAAATATAATTAAAGGAGATGGAGACTGGTGGGCCCAAAATGTAATGAGTTCAAAATTGATTAAATTTTTTTTTTTGTATGAAATATCAAAAATCCGCATAAATTCTCAATCTACAAGCGGAGAAATATGCAAATGACTGTTTTAATGAAGCAATCGATTAACGATTAATTAAATAAAAATGATTATTCGATTATTTAACTACAAAAGAAAAACTTCACTCCTAGTTTTAAACTTATAGTAACTTCATTTAAACTACAGCATATATGTCTATAATTCAATAAAAATAACTTTTAATAACGTGTATTAATATAATAATAATGTTAAATATTATTTTAAAACATTCTTTTCGATTATCGATTCCATATCGATCGAAATCATTCAGTATATAGTCTATGGCAACATGACATTGACACTTAACAATTACCATGCCAGATGCATTGTTATCTGAGTGATCTGAGTCTGATTTGTTTCGTTTTTTATTATTTTTTTTCGATGCGTTTCGAGCGCTTTCCCGATTATTTTACGTTTTCAACGACCACTGTTTTGTTTTTTACAGAACCCGCCTAACGTTTTACAACCCTTGCTTTCACATTGGACACCGACGATCTCCTGCACGTTTGACTTGGAATTGTTAATTTGAATTATTTCGCAGGCTTGTGGATTGGATATTACTGAAACGATGGATTGCTGTGTGAATTGTGGTATAGCAACTAGTAAAATTGTACCCCTTGCACAGTTCCTAGATGATATTTTAATTATTATTAAAGAGGAATAAAATATTCCATTAAAATTATTTGTTTTATTTTATGACTTTTATCACATAGTTCACTCCTCCTGTTCCTCGTAAAAATCCATACTTGTTACCTATATCTGTATGTCTTTGTCATAAAAAGTTAGAAATACAATAACCTATTTTTTTTTTTTTTTTTTTTAACGAGGAGAATCTTTCAAAGACTTCCCGCCGCGGGGGAAACACGGCGGGGGCGTGTGGGATTTCCACCCACTAAACTCCTCGGCGTTCTCTGCGCAGTGCGTAGGCTAGTGAGCGGGAACGGCGAGCCATGCTTCCGCTCACTACGCACAAGTCCCGAAAGGGACTCCGCCATCGGCAGGGGTTTCAGTGGCTAGACCACACCACCCCTCCGACTCAAGAGCAGCGTGCCGGGAACGCCAAACACGCCGCTCTTACTCAGGCCTATGTTACCCGGACGCCGGTTCCCCACCGACGCCCGGAGGCTCCTCACTGGGGAGGCAGGTCGCGGGCATATGCCCGCTGCCTTCGACCCAGTCTACGTCGACGCAAGGGCGCCGAGGAGGGGTCGTCTTCCCGTACACGTTCTACGGCCTCTTTCCGCGACATCACGTGCTCGCAGAACTTGACCATCGCCTCCCAGGCCCTCTCGCTACCGACCATGGCCTGAACCACAGCCGGCAACGATAGGTCTGCGCCAACTACTGTGGAGAGCTGGCGACGCTCTACAGCCCACGCAGGGCACTCCGCCAAGGTGTGATCGGCCGTGTCATCCATGCAACTGCAATGGTGACACGCCGCGGTCGGCTCTCTCCCGACTATGTGGCACAGATACCTCCCAAAGCAACCATGCCCCGAGAGGATCTGCACCAGCCGGAAGGTCAAGGAACCGTGTCGGCGGTCCACCCACTCTTTAAGGAGCGGGCGAATAGCCTCCACGGTTCGCAACCCGGCCACTGGCTCAGAGAGTTTCCGCTTCCACCGGCGAAGCAGTAAGGCGATCAAGGAGCGCCGCCAACCTTCCACCCGATCCCGGTCCGGACTCGGACCCCGGGATCGAACTCGCGCGCGCTGGTGGTACACCTCCGACAGAACCTGGGCATCCAGTTCCCACGGAGGCGTCCCAGCCAGCACGCAAGCCGCCTCATGGGAGACGGTGCGGTATCCCCGTACCACCCTCACCGCCATGACGCGCTGCACTCTGTGCAGCGCAGCCACGTTCGGCCTTGTGAGGGCACCGGCCCACACCGGAGCTCCGTACAGCGCCATTGAGCGCAGCACGCCAGTGTACAGGCGCCGACACGCCACGCTCGGACCACCGAGATTCGGCAGGAGCCTTCCGAGAGCGTTCGCCGTCCCGAGGAGTCTCGGGACTAACCCGCGAAAATGCTCCCGGAAGTTCCACTTTCCGTCCAGAGTCAGCCCCAGATACTTCATCCGGGGACTGAGCTCGACGGGGACGCCGCAGATGTTAATGCTGGCGCCCGTCGGAAGTCTTGCTCGAGGGCCGTGGAATAGGAGGGCCTCGGTTTTCCCGAGACCCACCCTCAGCCCGAGCATTTCAATGCGCCGCACGATTAAGGCAGCACCAGCCTCGGCACGCGCCTTCGCCTCTGACAGGTCATCACCTCGGGCTACAACGAGCGTGTCGTCTGCATAGCAGACGACGCTCAGCCCGGTCGGGAGGGCACCGCGGAGTACGAAGTCGTATCCGAGGTTCCACAGGAGAGGCCCAAGGACCGACCCCTGTGGAACACCGCAGCGCACCTCGTGGTGATGCACCCTGCCGTCTACCCCCACAAAGGAGATCTCCCGTCCACGGAGGTAATTTCCGATTATCCGCCGGATGTAGAGTGGCAGTCTGTGGAATCGGAGGGCCTCTTCGATGACGCCAAAGGGGAGGGAGTTGAACGCGTTGGTGATGTCAAGAGACACCGCCAACGCAACTCCGCCCCCAGACACGGCGCCATCTGTGAGACTCCTCAGCCTCAGGATGGCGTCTATGGTGGACCGCCCACCCCGGAAGCCAAACTGACACTCACTCAGCTCGGGCCCATTCCTACTGATATGTTGGACGACGCGGGACGCGAGGATCCGCTCAAAGAGCTTCCCCGCGTCGTCTAGTAAGACAATTGGACGGTACGCAGACGGCGAGTCCGCAGGTCTTCCCGCCTTCCGGAGAAGAACGAGCCTCCCCTCTTTCCATGGCGACGGAAAGCGGCCCGTTCTCAAACACCCATTGAGGATCCCTAAGTACCACTCGGCCAACTCGCCCAGGGCGAGAGCCAGGACGCATCCGGGAACGCCGTCCGGCCCAGGTGCGGTCTTTTTGGCTCTGAGTGGCGACAGAGATCTCTCGAGCTCCTCAAGGGTGACAGCCGGTATGGCCTCCGACCGGTCTAGCTCGCGAGAGTTGACTGCGGGCATCGTGTGTGTAGCCTCCGCAGGGAACAAGGAGCCCACGACGCTACGCAGAACCTCCAGCTCCAGACTCTCCGTGACCGGGGCGGTCTGGGCCCGGATTTTGTTCCGGGCACCGAGATACGGACGTCCCCACGGGTCATCGTCTAGACGTGCGAGTAGCTCCTCGCGAGCCGACTTCTTCGACCTGCATATTGCATGCCTCAGCTCATTCTTCGCCTCGTTGTAGGCGTCACGAAGCCTGCCCTCTTCAGCTTCGTTGCGGGGATGCCGCCTCCGTTGACGAGTGTACTGGCGTCTCGCCACCGTACAAGCTGTACGCAGTTGCGCGATCTCCGACGTCCACCAGTACACTTGGCGTCTGGGGGGGCGCTGCACGACGCGGGGCATCGATGCATCGCAAATCCGCCATAGGCTTCGGCGGAAATTGCGTGCCTCCCCATCCACCTCAACGGGCTGCTGAACCCTCATGGTCCAGGCCTGGACGATTGACGCCTCAACCGCCATCTGTCTCTCCAGCTTGGTTCGAGACCAACGGGGAAACTCCGACGAGCTCCCTCCAGGACGACGAGGAGGCAAAGAGCCCTCCTGTGAGGCCACCTCGAACCTGATAAAAGAGTGGTCCGACAACGTTTCCACCCCAACCAAGACCCGCCAGCCACGCACTCGTGTTGCAACCGCAGGGGTAGCGAACGATAAGTCCACTATGGACTCACCCTGCGGTCGTACACACGTAGCGGCATTTCCCCGGTTGAGGAGGGTTAGACCGAACGCTGTGGCCCACTCCTCCACCACCTCTCCACGAGCGTTTGTGACGCGCGACTGCCACACCGTAGAATGGGCGTTAAAGTCACCGAGGACGAAGGCTTGTCTCGGCGACGCACGTCTCACCTCAGCCCCGACCTCGTCGAGAAGTCTCTCGACCTCTGCGACGGGCTTCCTCGGAGCGAGGTAGACACCCACCAATACAAGCTCGCCCCACCGAGCAGCGACATATCCGTCCCCCCTACTGATGATAGCAAGAGGGGAGGAGTGCACACCGGGCGAGACGACCACCGCCACAGACTGAACCGTATCCGTCACCCAATTCGAACGATCGGGGACGAAATAGGGCTCGCAAAGTACTGCCACATCGATGGACCACTCCGCCAAAGCCTGCAGGCAAAGATCCTGCGGACCCGGGGAGTGGTTCAGGTTCCCTTGAAGGAAGTTGATGGACGTGTGAGCCATTATTCGTCCATTGTTACAACCTCCGTGACGACAGATTCAAGAGTCGGAGCCGAGGTTTTCTGGCGCTCCTTACCCATGCGGCTTTTGGGCGGGTGGCAGTTCCTGCTCCCCACCACATGATTGGCGGTTACGCCAGCATCCGCACAGACCGGACACCGCGGGTCCGATGTGCAAGCCTGGGCCATATGCCCCTCACGACCGCAACGGAAGCACAAACGGCTGCGGTCGATTGATGAGGGGCATCTGAGGCCGGCATGACCCACCTGGAGACAGCGGAAACAACGCATGGGGCGCGTTTCCAGCGGCAGCACTCGTGCCGAGCTCCAGCCAACTAGGAGCCGACCGGCCTCCACGAGGCACTTAGCCACCGCAACCGGGCATCGCACCCATGCAGCTCCCGTTCCGAACACTCCTCGGGAGCGAATTGGACCCACCCTTATCTGTCCAGTGGGGCAGTTGCCTTGTCGAGCAATCGCCTCGAGAACGTCCTCCTGAGAGACGGAGTCGTCCAACCCGGAGACTCGCACTTCCGCGCACTTCACGGGTCGGGCGACTTTAACGTCGGGGACCAGCTCCTGGAGTTTACGTGCTAGGAGGTCCGCCTTCTCCTCCCCTGCACCCTCCGGAAGCTCAAACAACCGGGCCCCGGTGACCGTTTTCTTGCAGACGAGACCCATCGGCAAACCAAGTTCTGCCAGGTTGAGTCCCGCCCGCGCCGTCTTCAGGACGTCCTCATAAGACCTGGAGGAGTCTTGTGGCAACGTCAACACCACCGCCGGTGTCTTCGCCTCTTTAAGGGTTCGTTTCCGCTGACGATCCCTCTTCTTCTTCTTTTTCTTCTTTGGCCCTGTTTGGGCCTTCGAAGAACTAGGCCTAGGTGCGGTCCGACCGTTGCTCTGCCCACCCTTGGGGGCGGCAACCAGCCCAGCACCAGAGCTCGGAGCCTTCTTCTTTTTAACTACCTCCGTCCATTTCTCCGACATGGACGGAGGCGGCGGAGGCAGAAAACGCGGGGCATTGCCTGCCACCGGTTTCTTCTTAGTGGCCTTAGCGGCCACTCGCTGTTGATGGCGCTCGGGCTCTGCCACAGCCTCCGAAACTGCAACTCTGGCTCTGTCGGAGGCTAGGGGCGGCCGCAGACGAGGCTCCGGTAAGAGCCTGTCTTGGATGCTCTGGAGCTTCGCGTCCATCATGTTACTGAAGTCGAGCATCATCGCAGCGCGAAGCTCCTCCAGCAACTGTTCCTGCTGTTCTCTGGGGGGGGGAGCAATGGCCATCTGGTCCACGTCGGCCCGTAAACGGGCTTGCCCCTCCCTCAACACCTCCAGCTCCTTTTGGAGCAGGGCGTTTTTAGTTTGCTCCTCCTTTAGCCGTTCCTGCAGAATGCGAACCTCGTCGCTCGACCCTCTTTCCAGGAGCACCTCCTTTGCGCTGCGCAGAAGCTGCGTCGACGTCTTCAGCGCCCGAACGTAGCCGCCCTTTAAGTTCCCGGATTTCCGGGCGACTTCTGAAATGGCTTCGAGCGCTTTGTCGACTTCTTCTTCTATAGATGAGGCCGGCAGAGACTTGAGGGAAGGTAGAGCCACCTCAACCCTCTTTGCCCGCCTCACAATTTCCTCCTCGGACTCCAAAAGGAGCGCCTCGCGCTTCTGGCGGTTTAACGCTTCTTTGGCCTGGGCTAAACCGACGTACATCCCCGTTGTGGGGGGCCGTCCTCTGCCCCGTTTGGCCGAAGTAGTAGCCGCCACCTTCTTTTGGCTTTTGCTCGACGAGCTGCCGTCCGAAGACGGCCTGAGGGGGCGCTTTCGGACCGAGACGGGAATATCGTACTCAGAGCACGTCTCCATCGATCGGTCCGTATCGGAGCCACCCTGGCTCGTCGAGCGAGCGCCCTGCGCCTCGCTCCGCTGGCTAGTCTCGCTACGCGAGACGGAGGACTGACGCACATTGGACCGCGTTGTCCTCGACGTACTCGCACGTTCGAGACTAGCCACCAACTTCCCATTGTCATTGAGCAAATCGGATCCTTTAATCTGGCCATGGTCATTGGTGCCCACTGCACCTCTGCGAGGGTCCCTTGAAGAGGGACCCTCTCGGCGTTGGTTGCCCCCCCCAGAATACGTGGGGCAGACCGACGAGTCGGTGAGGGATTCCCCAGCCTCTTTGGGGCTGGGACCCTCCTGGGGTAGTTTATCACTATTTTTTACCGACGCCATTGTGTTTTTGGCCCTATAAAGGCAGGGCCACCCTAGTGCCCTCGGGACGAGCCACCCGCTCGCCATTCATCCCAAGGCCGGGCACCACAAACCGGGGATTAGGGGCCGTATAAGCCTTTCCATCCGCATACATACATCACGCACAAGAAATAAATATCAGAAAGACAGAGAAGAAAGACGTTGAAAGATAGAATATATACGATATAAAAACAAAGAGAAGAGTAAACTATATAAAGAAAGAAAAGACAGAGAAAGACTGGTGTTCAGCCGTCTGAGCACCTCACCCCGTGTAAAGGGCGGGGTGGCGCACCCAGACGTTGCCCAGGGGCACCAACGAGGAGGTACCGGTACCGCCCCCAGAAATACAATAACCTATAACTCAAGGTATTGTCAAGTCACTCAATAGTACCCCCGACTTGAAAAACCAGTGTAAAATTATAAGAGACTAGTAAAATTAGTAAAAGAAAGTTAAATATAAACTGTTCATTATTTTAAGACACGATAAAAGTGTTAAAATAGACAATAACAATAGTGTTTTTTTTATGGTCATAAAAAGAAGTTGTCTCAAGCTACTCATTCTGTGATTTATGTGACTGTCTACTGAAAGGAACTACGGCCGATCTAGCGAAACTAAGTTCCATAAAAAAGTTAGAAATACAATAACCTAAATATCAAAGTATTGCCAAGTCACTTAACAGTACCACCAACTTTTTTAATAAAAGCGCCATCTAACGGAGTGTAATACGCTAATATCGTCAATATCGATAATTCATAGTAGCCGAGCAGAAATCATACGAGCCTACTTAATACTGCGACAGATCAACAGAGGGCGCTAAACCCAATATGGATGAAATTAAAAATATGTTAAGAAAAATGCAAGAAAAAATGAGACAGCAAAAAGTAGACATGGTAGCCATGAAAAAAGACATTAAAAACACAAACAACAATAATATAAATGAGAAATTTAAGAGTTTGGAAAACAAAAACTTACAACTAGAGCAAAACTAGGAAACACAGAAATTGTTAATCGATAACTTTGAAAGGTTCAATAGCAGAAAAAACCTGCTGTTTTTTGTAGTTCAAAAGCGAGAAATTAGCTATCAAGATTTGGAGAAAAAAGTTTTAGATATCATAAACAATATTTTGAACATCAAACGTGAAAAGCATTACTTAGAATCTGTAAGAAGACTTCGAAAAAAAAGCGATAAAATCCGACCAAAAGCTAGTTTATAATATTTATGTATGTTTTACACGGTAAGTAAGTATGTCAGCGCTATTTCATTGGTTTTCTAAGGACGCCTGGTTCATTAACTTACACGGAAATTAAATCTGTCACAATCAGTTAATTGTTTTGAAGATTTTGGTTATTTAGGTTTCAAATACCTTAGAAAGGCTTTTAACGGTTTTGAGATGCTTCAGTCAATTCAATCACTTCCGGTCGGTACCACGCCTTTGAAAGAATTTATAGATTTTCTGTTAATATCCTCACATGATTTATTTCTCCAAATTCTACTGATAATACTACCTAAAATAAAAATTTTAATATTTATTCGCCAATAAAAAATTTATATGAAAATAAATATATTTTTTCTCTTCTTCAATTATAATTACAAGTAGACCATCTAATTTCTATAACAACGAATACAAGATATTGATATGATACTATTAGTATTATATAACATTACATCAAAGTAAAATAAATTAGTTTAGTTGTAAACTTTAATATAAGCTTATTTGGACAACTCAATTTGTCAACTTGTGTGATGTTTAGTGATGTTGTGTTGTGTTAGTAAAGTCTGCTGACAAATTCCTTCGTGAAACCAACGACGTTAGTCAGTCCACATACAGAAGAATACATACATGAGGGGCGTCCGCCGTAGCTATATAATATAAAGACAATTTACGTGTGGTTTGACAAACATATCCCACATATAATTATCAGTAACGAGGCAGTCACAGGAGCAACATAAGTAAACGATTTTATTGAACGGCTGTTTCAGTTAGTTTTGAATATCTTCCAGCCGGATTACTTGTGCTAAACCCAACATAATAAATCTGTATTTCACATATTGTTATTACAGCACTAGAATATGGAATAAACCAGTTTACAAGTTAAAAATGTGACATCTCACTAATGGTTTTTGTATCTACAAATCTTACTACTTTAAATAATATACATGTATATATATGCATACATTAAGT